TGCTTTCATTATGTTCAATTTGTAACAATGAAAATATATTCTGCTTATCAGATATTTACATTACGATTCATAACAGTAGCAAAATTACAGTTATGAAGTAGCAACGAAAATAATTTTATGGTTGGGGGTCACCACAACATGAGGAACTGTATTAAAGGGTCGCAGCATTAGGAAGGTTGAGAACCACTGCTATAGAGCTATAGACCTCTCTTCTTTGTTAAGCCAGTAATTAGTTCTTTATCTGCTTTCCAGCTTCCCAAAATTTCAATACCCCTTTTTCCACTATTGTTTTCTTCTCAGGTATCTTTGTCCTTAAGGGTTTATACTTCTTTTATTCATGTACTTTAATATTAGGGCTTTGGAAAAAAAAGAAATGTATATACCATCTGTTATGTAAGAAATCAAATGAAGTTAAACCTAGTCTGAAAATGCCAGCCCCATTATCTGTTTAATTACCTCCCTAATAGTGACCGTCTACTTGTCTGAATAAAATGCATTCTTGGGGTAGGCCAGGTTCTCCTTTTTATCCACTTGCCAAACCACTCTGCTGTCTGCCTATAAATGCCTCTTTTTATGATGCTCTTGAAACTATTAAATCACCTCTCTACCTTGAAGGGCATATCTAGTTTTAAGGTCCCAGCCTCCCTTAATAAAATTTGTCTTCCTTTTAAAACCGGGCTTTAACTTTCATTAACTTATTCGACCCACTTACTGAGTACCTACTATGTGCCAAGTATTGGGAATGCAAAGATGAGGGTATGACCATATAGTTGCCCAACAGGCTAGTCTTACAGCCTTTCTTAACTGGGAGACTGTCTGAATCACAGAAAATGATTTTGGTGACTATTTTCTTAATTCTCACCAAAAGGGTACATAAGTAGTATCATGTTGGATGCATGGGAGAGAAGCTAATTAATTACACACAATAGATGCCTCAGAGCATTATACAAGTTAAAACATGGTACTGAAGTATTGAAATCCAGTTTGTCTAGTTCAAGAACCTGAGCTTTTAAGTTTTATGGTATAAAATCCCTTTTCAAGTGACCAAATATTCTCCTTCCCATGGGAATGAGGTAAAAATTATGCTGCAAGTATGGTCTGTTATAAACCTTAACATGAATAGTACCATGGGTATGGAGAATAGATAAGGACTACATTGAGTGCAAAAGACAAAAGGCCAAGTAACCAAAGCTCTGAATTTTGAAAAATGAAAGGAAACAGGGAGCCATATGCAGCCAAATTTAAGGGATTTTAAGTAACCAAGATTAAGGAAATAAAAGGAATGTTTTATATCAAAAATATACCAAAAAAAAGTTTCTAGCTAAATGATTAAGAAATTATCTCATGCCCTGGTTGGTATGGCTAAATGGTTGGAGTGTCATCCCTTGGACCAAAGGGTCTCTGGTTTGATCCCCAGTCAAGGGCACATACCTGTGTTGCAGGTTCGATCCCTGGCCCTGGTGGGGATACATGCAGGAGGCAACCAATCGGTATGTCTCTCTCACATCGATGTCTTTCTCTCTCTCACACCCCCTCCCTTCCACTCTCTCTAAAAAAATATCCTTAGGTGAGGATTAACAACAAAAATTATCCTAATATATATAAAGAGCTAGGTGCCGTCACGACCAAACAGGCAACCGGTCACCATGAAGTGCATGGAGCACCTTTCTGCCCCCCCCCCCCCCCCCCCCCAGGCCCTGAGCTGCTCACTATAAGGAGGGGCTTGTGGCGGGGGGGGACTTGGGACTGTTGAGCGGCCAAGAGGGGCTTGTTTCTCGGGGATGCCATGAGCTTAGCAGAACAATCCCCCCCGGCAGCAGAGAGTTTCCCAAAGCAGGCCGCGGGGGGGGGGGAGGTTCGCGGGAGAAGTCCCCGGAGGGGGGGGGAACCCCCCGGGGACCAGAAGTGGGACGGGGGAATTGTAGTGGGACGGGGGAGTTTTGCTGACCGTGTAGTGGCGAGCTTCGGCAGGAGCCGAGGGGCCCCGAGCATCACGGAGCGTCCCAGGGCAGGGAGTTTCATGTAGCATCGCAGGCGCAGACGTATGCAACGGAGGCCAGGCTAGGCCTAGGGGACCCTAACTGCGCATGATTTCGTGCGCGCTGGGCCTCTAGTCTCAATATAAAAGAACTCTAGATCAAGTATTACCTAAGATGTAAGAGTTGGCTCATTAATTTTACCTTTCATTGAAAAATTAAAATAACAAATATCTATATTAAGGAATGCCTTCCCATTTTTTAAAACAGTAAAGTATATACAATAAGTTCTTATATTTTAAACATGTCAAATATAAAACCAATTCAAGGAGAGATTATTATACCTTTTTGGTAATGTTGCAAACTTCAAAATTTTCTGACAAGTTTGTTTTTATAGAATAAAAGGTCAAGCTGCTAGGTTATTTATTTACTAGAGGCCTGGTACATGAATTCATGCACGGGTGGGGTTCCTCTTCCTGTCCATCAATCAGGACCCATAGAGGCCGACCAGGGGGAGGGACCATGGGAAGTTGGCTGGCAGTGGGAGGTTGGCTGTGGGAGTGAACTGACCACCAGGGGGCAGCTCCTGTGTTGAGCGTCTGCCCCCTGTGGTCAGTGCCCATCATAGCGACTGGTCGACTGGTCGTAACGGTCACTTAGGCTTTTATATATATAAATTTATTTTAATCCTCACCCAAGGAGTGAAGATATTTTTCCACTGATTTTTAGAAAGAGTGCAAAGGAGGGAGGAAGGGAAGGAGAGGGAGCGAGGAGGGGGGAAGGAGGGAGAGAGAGAGAAAGGAGAGAAATTTTGATATGAGACTTTGATTGGTGGCCTCCCATACTCACCCCCGACTGGGGGCGGCGATCAAACCTGCAACCCAGGAACATGCCCTTGACTGAAAATCGAACCCGTGACCCTCTGGTGTGCAGGCTGACACTCTAACCACTGAGTCATGCTGGCCAGGCCTAGGTTATTTTTTTTTAAAATATATTTTATTGATTTTTTACAGAGAGGAAGGGAGAGGGATAGAGAGTTAGAAACATCGATGAGAGAGAAACATCGATCAGCTGCCTCCTGCACACTCCCCACCGGGGATGTGCCCGCAACCAAGGTACATGCCCTTGGCCGGAATCGAGCCTGGGACCCTTGAGTCCGCAGGCCGACGCTCTATCCACTGAGCCAAACCGGTTAGGGCAGGGGTGGGCAAACTTTTTGACTCGAGGGCCACAATGGGTTCTTAAACTGGACCGGAGGGCCGGAACAAAAGCATGGATGGAGTGTTTGTGTGAACTAATATAAATTCAAAGTAAACATCATTACATAAAAGGGTACGGTCTTTTTTTTTTTTAGTTTTATTCATTTCAAACGGGCCGGATCCGGCCCACGGGCCGTAGTTTGCCCACGGCTGGGTTAGGGCCTAGGTTATTTTTGATAACGTATTTTCCTATCGTCTGACATCTAAACAGTCTACTAATATTAGTATAATAATTAATAGAAAAATATTTTAATGACACTTTGTGTAAACAAAATTAGTACTAATACTAAAAAGATAATGGTAAAATCAAAATATAAGAAATTTTTTATGTAACAGAAATCTCAACTTTTTCACTCTTATTTATCAATGTTTCCTTCTATATAATTCCTCTCATTTTATTCCTGACATTGTTATCCTTTTTTTTCTCCTGACATTGTTATTTAACAGGGGCTTTCATTTTATTTTTTATTTTTCCAAGTCCTATTAATTTGTTGATTTAGCCATACAATACACATTATTTTCAAGTTAGGAATATGTGCTGCCCTAACCAGTTTGGCTCAGTGGATAGAGCGTCAGCCTGTGGACTGAAGGGTCCCAGGTTCAATTCCGGTCAAGGGCATGTACCTTTGTTGCGGGCACATCCCCAGTAGGAGGTGTGCAGGAGGCAGCTGGTCGATGTTTCTCTCTCATCGATGTTTCTAACTCTCTATCCCTCTCCCTTCCTCTCTGTAAAAAAATCAATAAAATATATTTAAAAAAAGAAAAGAAAATGTGCTTAGCTTTCCTTTCTAAATCTGTCTTTTATTCAAACCATTAACATTCCCTTCTAATTGGCAACTTCTAATGCTCTTTTAGCAAATACTCATTAGCTAAACTTCTCAAGTAATTTCATGTCTTGTAACTTTTCTTTTAATATATGGCCATAGAAAACTAAGAATGCACTCTGTTAGGACAATAATTACCCTTTGCTCTACTGTCGAGGGTCCCTTTTCAGTTTTGAAATGTTAAGATTCTAATATAACTTCCATGTTAACTTGGCTATAACAATAACAACAACAAAAAGTGCTGCCCTAACTTAAAAATTTTAGTTTGAATTAAATTAAGAAGGTATATGAGTCTAACACTAACCGTGCCCGACACCCCTTACATGCCGCAGGTTATTGCTTGATGTGCAGGTTGAGCTTGAAAAAATACAGAATATCTTAAAATTCAAATCAGATTCAAATAAATTTGTTTCCAAATGTGACTATCTTCATTGTTACTATGAAGTTTCATTCTTCTAAACACATCAGCATGAATAAAGCATTGAGTGTAAATAAGAGAATCTAAGTTATCCAAGAAGTCCAAGATCAAGTATAATCTTGAAATCTGGGAAATAGGGCTAGTTCAAAGCTTGAGTGCAGACAGGGTGTAGGTGGGTGGTAACTGGGTAATTACATATTCCCTTACCTATAGTCTAACATTAGGAAAGAAAGAGCCTTCAGTCTCATCTACTGCTCTTAGTCACTAGTTTTTAATGCTTGGCTTTAATGCAAATGAAGTGCCACATTAATACTAACCGTAAATAAATTCTGTCTCAGATGTCATAAGTACACATTCAAAATAAACTGACCCTTTCACATCTCAAACACTGAAATCATGGAATGTACTGCTTGTGTTTTCATGGAGTACAAGACTATATAATTTTGAAACACTGGTTGTTTTTTCAAATCTGGAAGACAAATGTGTAATTTTAAAAGAAAAATTGAAAATTAGAATTTCATACCTTGTGCAAGCATGTTAAATTCCAAGAACAGTGCTATGTGGTAAAGTTCCATGGCTTCTTCTGCCCTGGTCATGTTTGGTTTCCCTGCGACGAGAGCCTGAACTTCACTGAGACTCCCCACAGAGGGGCTACAGTGCAAAACGGAGAGGTCCACCACATCGGTATACATACAGTGTAATATAACTTTTGCATATTTTTTTGGTATAATGGACTCATCTAATATAATTCTTGTGGGAGTCCTCAAAGTTCGGTCTGTGATTTCTTCACCAGTCCGTATCCTCCTTTGTAATAAATTTCGAAAAAATGGGGACCGTGCCGAAATAACAGCTTTGTGAGCTTTGTGCTCTTCATCTAAACAGTTCTGATTTCCACCAAAAGCTTCAACCAGTTCAGAGTCTGAAGAAAAACTAAGGACGACATCGTAATAACACATGTAATCAAAAAGTCCACGCATATCTACATCAAGGGAATTTGGTGTTCCAAATTCTTCACTAAGCTGAACGAGGATATCGACATTTTGAAACCTTGAGTCCTCCATTCCAAACTCTCCAGTATAAAGGTAGTGTAACAAAGCAGAAAACATAGGCATATCTATACCAGCTGTATTGATGTCCATTATGATCTCTGCCCCATACTCAGGTGAGGAAGAAAGCAGTGTTTTAAAAAATGGACACCTTGCCGCCAAAATGGCACGATGAACAGGAAAACAAGTTTCTTGAAATATTAAGTCTACATCAGTACAATACTTATACTCATAAAGATCGGCCATATCCTTCTGCAATGTCCGGGCTTCTGGTCTAGCCAAACTGGCTTGTAGAGAAAGTTCCTTTAAGGCTGAAGTTCCCTCGTATTCCTCCACTAATGCATTGACATCTCTAACATCCCAACCAGAGAGGAGTTCTCGCATCTGCTTGGCGTGATCAGCAGACCTATTCGATTTTCGACGCTTAATAAACTTCTTTTTGAGGGTGGCAAGGCCAGAGGTTCTCTTTTTTTTGTCTTGTGGTTTCTCATGGCCATGGTCAAGACTATATAATTTTGATTCACAACCATAGCCTTGCTGAGAATAGGATGATGTCCCTAAGAAGGAAATTAAATAAATGAAAATGTGTTTCTTTTTTCTTAAACATTCATTTTCAACATTCACTTTAACACATATTTCATGCTAAAAATTTTTAGACATTCTTAAACCATAAAAAAACACACCCTGATTTTGTTTTTATAAAGATAAAAAGTTCAAATAACTTTTCTTCATATTAAATAAGGACAAAAGAGCAGATTTACATTTGTTGAGGAAAAATCCTGGATGCTGAAAAATTATAACTTTTTCACAGCTCATTTATTTTTTCATCTGAAAAGACCACCGAAAACACGATTCTATTTATATTCACAGAATAAAATGAATTAGAAAAATGAAAACAGTTACCTATAAAAGTCTGTTGGGCTTGAGAATTTCCCCCTACCCTCGGGGAACATGAATGAGGATAGTTAGATGCATTAGCACCCATTTTCTTCAGTCACTCAGGCATTCCATCTGCTGGCTCTTCAGAGTATAATCCCAGAGGCCTTTATGAACTTTCAACCCTGGATCCAGCAGCCTCTTTTCATCCATTTCTTGATATGAAACAAAAATAATTTTATTCATATTTTCAAATGTATCTCAAATTGAATAGTAAAAAAAAAGCAAGCAATTGAAAACTGCTTTTATTTACCAATAATGACATGCTGTCAACTTCACACGTAAAAATTTCAGAAGATGTAAACAGTTAACCTTGAATTATGAATCAGTGTTAGCTGCAATTTTGAGCCATAAAATCTACCAATTATGTACTTTCTATGATAGTAAAAAGCAACAATCAGACTAATGTAAATATATAGTTATAGAAAGAGCAATTCAAATCACAGGGGGAAAAGACACAGGTAAAAAGTATTCAAACTAGAAAAAAGTTTTTTTAATTTTTTTATCTTTAGAAACAGTCACCAGTTATTATAATCTAACACCTAAACAATTTACAAATACTTAGAAGGTTGATACCAGTTCTCACTCTCACCTTATCACATAACACACACACACACACACACACACACGCACACACGCGCTAGAGAATTAGTTTTATCTGAGAATTTTGTAATATTTGTAGCAACACAAAACACTTTTACATTGGTCCATTAGAGATTCTCATCACAAATGTCTTCAAAAAAGCACTCAATTTTATGATGAATACACTTAGAGAATCTAAAGCAACCATATAAAGGTTATAAGACATCATAAGTCCCACTGGAGATACAGAGCAGCCAGAAAGCATTAGGAAATCACAGGCTGAGACATTTGCCACCATACTGAGCACCACAGGGACAGCTGGGGTCTCATCATGGAGGGGTGGCTTGAAATAAAAGTATCTCTGGGACTCAGGGACAGAATCTCTTCCCGGTAGCTCCCAGTCAATGGGAATCCCCTTCGGATGAACTGATCTGGGTGACATTCACATCTCCTACTGGAGCTCTAATACCAAAATAAACAAAAGCCTTGCCCTAGCTGATTTGGCTCAGTAGATAGAGTGTCAGCCTGCGGACTGAAAGGTCCTGGGTTTGATTCCGATCAATGGCACAAGCCCTGGGTTGCGGGCTCGATCCCCAGTAGGGGGTGTGCAAGAGGCAGCCAATCAATGATTCTCTCTCATTGTTGATATTTCTATCTTTCTCTCCTTTCCTCTCTGAAATCAATAAAAATGTAAAAAACAAACAAAAACCCCACAAAGGCCTTGGAAAAACTGGTGAGAGCGATTTTTCTGGATCAGATGTAACCATTAAGATACCCTCTGTCCCTAGTTCCAAATCCTGGTAACATTGTGCAGTTCTAGTACTAAAGCCGTATTTCTCAAAATTCTCAGGAACCAATTCATTTATTTCTTAGGCAACCAAAACCCTATGCCAAATGGAGCACAGTATTATGTTATTTATTTCTTAATCTAATCTGCTGCCTTTACATGCTGGAAATGAGTTAGTCACAGTCTAATCTCTCCAGGGATGTTTTCATTCCAGGCAAGCTTTGTCTGTCTTCTATATGAAGCAGTATAAGAAATCCAACATTTGGATGATATGACAGAAAAGGAAAGGGGAAAGGGGCCTATGGGACTAGGAAAGGCCCACAGGATGCAATGGCCCTAGAAAGCTGGTAATTCCTTTTTTTAGATTCACCATTCTGGGAGCACTCCCTCTGTTAATAGCTGACATGATCAATCTCAATCAGGATGATCTAACTCAGCGGTCGACAATCAGTGGTCCTCGAGGTCCGAAAGGTTGGGGACCACTGATATAACTGGCTTCAAATAAGTGATTGTAGCTGACCTAACTGAAGGGGGGTGGGGAGGTATCATGAATGCAAGAGAGAATTAACAATCCTATGAAAATTTTCTAAAAAGCAAAAAGCAACCTCTCCCCTCAAAAAGAAACCCTAGATCAGCATTTCCAAAGAGTCTCTCCCAAATCTGAAAAATGCAGGATTAAACAGAGCTTAATAGGTTTCTTTACTTCAGGACAGTTTAGCACAGAGGTCCTCAAACTTTTTAAACAGGGGGCCAGTTCACTGTCCCTCAGACATCCCACACATGCGCACTGCGGGCCCGGGACAAGTCGGCTGCTAAGCAGGACAGGCAGCGGCGGCAAAAACACCCGGCGGGCCGGATAAATGTTTTCGGCGGGCTGCATGTGGCCCGAGGGCCGTAGTTTGAAGACGCCTGGTTAGCATAATATTTCAAGTGCTAAGGTCATTATAAATCTCCAAGTATTCAGCATCATTGCCCCAAATTTCTGATTTTAAATTGTATCATGAGCCTAGCCAGTGTTGCTCAATGGTTGAGCATCAACCCATGAGCCAAGAGGTCCCCAATTTGGTTGTGATCAGGGCACATGCCCGGATTGTGGGCTCAATCTCCAGTAGGGGGCATGCGGGAGGCAGCCGATCGATGTCTCTCATAGATGTTTCTATCTCTCTACCCTTCTCCTCTCTAAAATCAATATGAACATAATTTGTATCATGAAAAATTTCAAAAATACACAAAAGAGAATAGTATACTGAAGCCCTCAAACCTCCAGATTCCAGAACTATCAAAATTGTTTTAGCTTATATATAAATGCTTAAATTTGATATGGAAAGCTTATAGATAGCACTTAAATGTCTATTATCAGCTTCTCATAGAAATAAAAATCTAGATACATGTATACTGTGATCACAATCATTATTATAACACTCATCAGTTATTGAGTACTCTGAGCCAGCCATTCTTAAGCAATTTATTTACATGAATTAACTCCTTTAATTTTCTCAATAATGTGAGGTATAGCTCTATTATCATCATCCCCACTTTACTTTTTTGAAGAAAGTCTTTTTTTTTAATTTATTGATTATAGAGAGACAGAGACAAACATTGATTTATTGTTCCACTTACTTATGCATTCATTGGTCGATTCTTGTATGTGCTCTGACCAGGGATCAAATCCACAACTTTGGCATATTGGAACAATGCTCTAACCAACTAAGCTACCCAATTAGAGCTTATCCCCACTTTACACAACGAGAGACTAGGAAGTTAGGAAAATGAGGCATGAAAGGCTTAGTTACTTAACCAAGGTCACAGAGCTGGTAAATTGCAAAACCAGGCTTGGCATTCAGGCTCTGATGAACAATATTATCTTTGCCATTTTTTTTCCTCCTAAATGTTTGAAGAAAAAATTTCCAGAGCAGACAAACATAGTTCCATTCCAAAAATGAGAAATGAGTACACACCTGACAGTGTGACTTCTGTTACTTAAAAGGATCTTTCATGGTAAGCAAAAATGACTTAACTGAAAGGATAGCTCATGAAATCAAAGCAACAGTGCCTTTCTGAATATTTACAGCTAGACTATATGTTCCTTTATGGCAGGATGACACTTTTTAATACTTGATAGTCCACCCCTCCACCCACTCAATCATCCATCCAATTCTGAGCATTTACCATCTGCTAGACACTTACACAGGCCCTGGGATACAGCAGTGATTGCATCCTGAATAGGATCTCTTATGAAATTAAGAAAAAAACTACTGTTCTGGCTTCCTAGTTTAGAGCCAGACCTTAAAAAATAGGAGTGCATTAAGTAAAAAAGAAAAGGTCATTTAAGGCATTAGAAACAGGATGAATAGGAATAACTCCTGTCCTAGTCAGCACTCCACTCCCAGTTCTCATAACCCTATACCTTTATTATCTACTAATATTGCAGCATCATTACTTACGTTTCCACCGAACTGTTAAGTTTCCCGAGGCTAGGTACTCAGCCTATTTACCTTAGAATTCTCACCATCACCACGGAACACAAAGTAGACACACATTTGAGTAAATAAATGCTAGCTATTATCATGAATGTTGATAAATAATGTGTCTAAGGCCTGAAGAGTTTTTATGTTTGAATGTATGGATAGGAGTTGGATCAAAAAGCCTCAAATCTCATACTAAGGTGTTGGGCCTTTATTCAGAACACAATGGAGTGAACACAAAATACAATACTTAGATGATGTATTATAGAATTGTACACTTGAAACCTATAATTTTATTAATGTCACCCCAATAAATTCAATAAAAAAAGAACACATGGAGGAACTACTGGAGCAAAGCATAGAACAAGAGAGAAGCATCATTATATTTATGTTTTAGAAAGATTACTAAATGTCCTCAAGGCAGAAGATATTTGATGCAAGACCTTTCGAAGATTCTTACTATGGTCCAGAAAAGTATTAATAAGCATCTGACTTTTCCTTATCTTTAAAATGAGGATAATATCACCAACTTTGCAAGGTTGTTTTAAGAGTTAAATCCTATCCTATATAATGAAGAGCTAATATGCTAATTAGACCAAACAGCAGAACGACCGTCCGGAGGAAGCCAGGGCGGTCCGGAGGAAGCCAGGGCGGCGAGGGCCAGTCGGGGCTGCAAGGGCCTGCATAGAATGCGAGGGCTGAGCCCCTTGCACAAATTTCATGCATTGGGCCTCTAGTAAGAGAATAAATATGAACTGACACTGGAAAGCAGAAGTAGCTCATCACAAGAGGAGGGTTTTCATGAGGGACCTGATATTGTGCCAGGTCTTACCTGGCCTGGATGAAATACATATTAGAGATGTTCAGGTATTCTGAAAAACTCAGTTTCTAGACACTTAAAGCTGAGGACCAATTACTGGAAAGTGATAGGTAAAAGAACCTATGCAGTTGCACTAGAAAGACATGAATGGACCTTTTACTGTGCCACTTTTACCTAGAGCTCATACTCAAAATGCGTTGTCCAGACTTAAAACCTCAGAATAAGATCCTCCTGAAGTAACAGGTGGAAAAATGGAAACAGAGGGCTGAAAAGGTCCTGAAAGCCTGACTCTCAGCCCCAGGCCTTGCTTATCCCCCTTGCCTGAACTGTAGACTGTAGGGTCCAGTGCTAACTAAAACCTGATGAGGAAGGAAGCCTGGGCCAGAGAATTGACAAACACAGCAGCCACAATAGGAGCTGCTTGGCTCTACCATACCTAACACTAAAATGTTTGTTGTTTCTCCTAGTATCTAGATTTCCGCCGCCCGCCCCCCACCCCCC